CATGAATAACAAAGCCACCTGCTATATTCCAGCAGTGGATGCTTTATTGTTAGTGATGATGCATGAGGCAGAAATAATGCAGTTTGATTTTTAGAGACAATACCAAGTTGAGCTTGCAAGGCTGTCAGCCCACACTCGTTTGACTTGGGAACTGAGCAAACAACATGGAAGTAATTGATGGAAACTAATGACACAATCAGATGTCATTTTTTTCTGACCTACTTTGCTTAAAGTAAATCCCCATTAATTGTAATTATCTGTACTCCACGTACACCAAACACTCAGCTGGATCCATCCCCCAGTTATTCAAATGAGGTAGCTCCAGATTTACACAACTCTGATTCTGGATTACATACCTCTCTATATATAGTGTTTGTTCCCCCGATCTGAATAAATGCCTGGAAGATGGAAGACCACACGGCTCAATTAGGGTATTGATCAGGATGAAAAAAGCCTTTAACCAAGCAGCACAAAGAGGTTGTGATCCCATGCCGGGGTGCTGTTGGAGCACTGAACACTCCTCCCCTTCCCACTGCCTGGTGCTCCTGGAGAGCAGAAGGAACGTGAAATGCAAGGCACAGACAGATCAGCTCCGAGTGCTGTGAGGGAAAAACCCTGGCTAAACATGTTTTATAAATACTTGCAGATCTCAGGGTCACCCAGAGTTTACCCAGACCTCCGGACACAAGCGCCTCCAGCATGATGGAAGCGTGGGATGCTGCTGAGTGCCGAGAAAAGCTTTCTCCTCTCAAAAATATGAGTTGAGAGATCTCAACATGGGTGTGATTGACACTCACAACTTCCAAAAAATCCCTAAAAATACAGTGTGTTGGCTAATAAAAGAAGCAGGCTCTGAGTAATGACTTCTGGCTCTTTGTGAGGGCCAGGATTACAAAGAAATGGAAGCTCCAGTGGACTCAAGGGGGAAAGCATCACTCCACGTCCTTGGCCAAAGCAACCCCACAGAAGTGGCTGTGGGAAAYAGGGCAATCAGGAGGTTGTGGGGAGATTTGGACATGGGTACATYTCTGCTGTGTGCTAAGCGAGTGAGCAGGAGCTGGAGAACATCATGGGATAATCAGGAATTAAGATGTAAGTGGTGGAGATATCACTTCTGGCCACCCACGGAGTCATGTAGCCATGACTCATCCYCCGATGCAGGAAGGAACGTAGCGTACCATGCGTCAAAATGGACAGGATCCTTCCAAGGGGAGATGATCTGGGATGGAGGACCTTTAAAGGGCTTTCATCCCAGCTGTTGATTGCTCCACATTGGCATGCCATTGCCTTCCATTTCCCCATCAGCTCTTGAGAAAATCAGCGAGTTATGTGTTAAATGAGTTACTTTTTTATTTCAGTCTTCGATACTCCTACTGGAAAGATCTTCCGATTTCCAAGCTAAAAATATTCATGGCCAGTTCCTACTCATTTACTTTTCCACCGTTGCCCTTCAGTGTCCCAACGCCTTTCCCTCCGCTTGCGTTTACTTTCCAGGATGTATTTATAGGCAGGAAAACATATTCCTTCTCCAGCTTCATTTTTTAGCTAAACTAAACAAGCCACATTCTTTCAGTCCACAGGAGAAAAGACAGACTGTCCTGACCTCTGATCACCACCTGGCTCTTCCCTGCAGCTGGAATTCACCCTCYTTGGACACAGGTGGTCACAACTGCACCGAGGAATTCGGGGGCAGTGCCAGCAGGGTATTGTCATCGTGTCATCCCTCTCCCAAGCAGCTGCTTCTCTCACTCCACGTGCCAACGCTGAATTCCTCAACTGCTGCCTTCTCCCACCCGAATGTCTCATCGCACCAGTTTGGGTTGGTTTTGTATCAAAACAGATGACTCGTCTGCCCCCTTATTGGTCCACCTACACTTCTATTTAAGTAATAAAACMAAACAGTTTGTTTACTTATCTGTTGTTTTGGGGTTTTGAGGTTTTTTTTCTCTCTTTTCAATCATATGTAGCAAATCTGCTACACAGAAAAGTTTGAAGGAATGAGGGATGCTTCCATTTATATCTCCTCGAACTGCAAATCAGAAGCCGAAGCTTAATCTGGGTGCTTCTCACCCAAAAATATGGGTCCCAGAGTCCTTATTTCTTACTGTTATGAGAATTAACATCCATATTTAGATTTGAAAGTATCCCACAGGAGAGGAATTTGATGTTATATATATATTTATACATATCTCATGCACATGAAGTAACTTTGGTCGAGGGCTGGTTTTGGTCTAYTTTATTTCCATATCCTTGCAACAGCTGAAGTTGGCAGAAAATAAGGGAATATCTGCAGCATTTGAATTTGTTATGATGGGGATCTGAGGAATCCTGGTGTCTCTGATCCCACTATATAATATTACACCATTTTTATCCCTTTGGAGAACCTTGTGACAGATTTTCACTCCTATTGACTTCAATTTGGCCACATCCAGGTGTGCATCAGGTGCATCCACATGGATCATGCCCAAAGTTTTGCTTTTTGTTCCCTTTTTTTTTTCTTCGTTTCTCTGCTAAAGAAAGAACCAACAATTTCAAACCAGCAGCATTTTTCAGACTTCACAAAACTTTTCAGCTCTTTTGACATCACCCAGAACCACCAAATAYACCTTTCTCAGATAGCCTGTTTAATATATGTGAGTCCTCCCACTTTTTCTTCAAGATTAAATTAATTTTTCCTCCCTGCAAAAGCATTTTATCTGCACTTGATACACACTTTTCTACCTTCTTGGAGTTGTTTCTTTTCTCTCCATGTTGAAATTAGACTCTGCAAACCAGCAACTTTTGCAGCCAGTTCTGGAGCCCTAACACTCTCTGCTGTGATATTTTGACACAGTTTAAAGGAGGAAAAAAAAAAAAAAAGGAGAATGGGTAGAATTCAAACTCCGACAGTAAGAGGAAGAAACTGGAGAAGGATCATCTGGAAAGAGTCCACTTATTAAATGGGGGAAAAAATGAAAAGGAGGAGAGATTGTAACCTACAGAGGACAGCACAAGACAGCTCAGAAAAGATGGATATGATGAATGAACAGATGTGTAACAAGGAATTGTGGAGGAAGGACCTGGAATGTGGCTTCCCCAGACTGCCAGTGGTGAAACAACTGCCTGGGGTGCAGCTCAGCTCCAGGCAGATCCCAAAACCAGAGCTGGGAGCTGCTTCCTGAGCTTGCCAGAGTTTTCTCTAGCACAGAGCYGAGCCCTTACAGAGTCTGGCTGACTCCACGAGTACAGGGTGGGAAAAGCAGTGTCCCCCAAATCCCCAAGTGGGTAAAGGAAYGACAAAGAGCTGAGGAGGGGATTTAGAATCCCTGTGTTAGAAGGGGAAGGACARGAAGATGCCAAGGTGGGGGATTTGAGATGGTAACGAGGTGGTGTGAGGTTGAGGTGCCACAGTCTGTTTGCAAGGTGCTGTAATCAACAGAGAATGAATCCCAGAAAGGTTTAGGTTGGAAGGGACTTTTAAATTCATCCAGTTCTGCCCCCTGCCATGGGCAAGGACACCTTCCACTATCCCAGGTTACTCCAAACCCCATCCATCCTGGCTTTGAACATTTCCAGGGATGGTGCAGCCACAGCTTCTCTGTTTCAGTGCTYCACCATCCTCTGAGTACAGGAAAGCTCCCCTTCCCCACAGCCATGGGAAGGAAGAAGGCAAAAAGAAACCCAGAGGAGGTCCCAAATCTGCCAGGACCCAGAGAGCAGCTGGAGGTATAAAGGTGGAAAGCAGYCTGGCTGAGGGTGAACTGAGTAGAGAAGTAATCCTTGAGAGGATTTGAGGTTGAGCAGGTGGCAGGGATAGGGTGATTGACACTGGACTGGGGAATTGATTTGGAACTGGGGAGGGGTCAGCACAAGGGAGTCCAGCTGAGGATGATCTGGGAAATGTCAGTACTTGGGACATGGGAAAATAAGTACAATGGAACTTTTTGAGTGCCCAGAGAAGGGCCAGGAAGATGGTGAAGGGTCTCGAGGAGTCATGTGAAGAGTGAATGATGTGGCTGGGTTTGTTCAGCTGGAGGAGGCTGAAGTCAGACCTCACTGGGGGCTGCAGCTTTCTCACAAGGGACAGCTCCGATCTCTGCTCTCCATAACCAAGGACAGCACCCAGAGGTCCTGGAGCTGTGTCAGGAGAGATTTGAGTTGGATATCAGGAAGAGTTCTTACCCCAGAGGCTGGCTGGGTTCCCCAGAGAACGTTCACATACCCAAGGCTGCCAGAGCTCCAGGAGTGTTTGGACAACGCTCCCAGGGACAGGGTGGGATTGCTGGGGTGTCTTGAGCAGGGTCAGGAGTTGGGCTTATGGGTCACTTCCAAATCAGAGTATTCTATGATTCTGTGTAGATCTTGTGATATGATTATAGAGATGAACACCTCTCCCATGAAGAAAGGCTGAGAGAACTGGGGTTGTTCAGCCTGGAGAAGAGAACCCTGGGGAGATCTTAGAGCCTCGGTCTTATGTGGCTGCAGAGGTTGAGTCAGATATTAGGAAAAATTTCTTCACAGAAAGAGTGATTAGACATTGGAACAGTCTTCCCGGTGAGGTTGTGGAGTCATAATCCCTGGAAGTGTTCAAGGAATGACTGGACATGGAATTCAGTGCTGTTGTCTGGTTGACAATGTGGTGTTTGGTCACGGGTTGGACTCACTGGTCTCAAAAGTGTTTTTCAACTTAAATGACTTTGTGATTCTGTCAAATGGCCTCAAGTTGTGCCAGGGGAGGTTTAGATTGGATATGAAGAAATAAATTCTTCATGGAAGGGGTGGTCAGGCAATGGCACAGCTGCCCAAAGCAGTGATGGAATCACCATCCCTGGAGGTTTTCAACATGTGTAGATGCAGAACTTGGAGATACAATTTAGGGGGGATCATGGCAGCACTGTGTTAACAGCTGGATTCAGTGATGCCACAGGTCTTTTCCAACATAATTCTGTGAATCTGTAAAGGGGCTCCAAGAGGTGTAGAGGGACTTTGGACCAGGGCATGGAGTGACAGGACAAGGGGCAATGGCTGTAAGTTGAAAGAGGGCAAGGCTAGAAGGGGTATTAGAAAGAAATTGCCCCCTGTGAGGGCACAGGCTGTCCAGAGAACCACAGAATAAGCTGAGTTTGAAGGAACCCACAAGMAYCATCCAGTCCAACTCCTGGCCTTGCACAGGACCATCCCCAACAATCCCACCTTGTCTCAGAGAGATTGTCCAAGTGCTTCTTGAGCTCTGTCAGGTTTGGTGCTGTGACCATTCCCTGAGGAGCAATTCTAGTGCTCCGGGAGAAGAACCGTTTCCTGACATCCAACCTTCACCCTCCCCTGACACAACTCCAGGCCATTCCCCCAGGGTACCATCCCTGGCCACCACAGAGCAGAGCCCAGCGCCTGCCCCTCCTC